CAACTGGTAGAGAACTCCCTAGCAAGCGTGAGACCCTGAGTTCAAGCCCCAGTACAGCAAAATAAATAAATAAATAAAGCTTCTTAAGTGGGATTTACATTTCACAGCTTTACTTCTACACCAATTTCATTCTTAATCCACTGCAGTAAGATTTCTGCTCCTCACCACAGTAGTGAAAAGGCTTTTCTTTCAAGTCCATCAGATACTTTGTAGTTACAATCTGAACCTGGCCTTCCATGGTATCTCAAGTTGATAAGCATGATTTCCTTCTTGAAATTCTTTATGCAACTTCTGCAGCATTCCCTCCTTCCTAACTGTTCAGACTCCACTGATTTGTAAAATGCTGCTGTGCCATTATTCCACTCTAAGTTTTTATCTAGCTAACCAATAAATATATGCTTCATGAATTACCTCCCTAATCCCTCATTCTACATCAATGGAATTGTCAGAATATCCACGAGGCACCCAGTAGTGCTGTCAGGATGACCCCTAGAGAACTCAGTAGCACCCAGGGTCATTCATAGAGTACCTGGTAGTATCATCAGGGTCACACACACCAGGGTCACACACAGAGTACTCAGTAACACCATCAGATTCATCCATGGAGCTCCTGTTAATGCACATTCCAGAGACTCTGACTCGGTGACTCTTTTGATAACACTCATTTCGAGTGCTTGGCTCTATGCCAGGACTGCTCTAGAACAGTCCACTTTAGAATGGTAAACAACCATTTTTGCCCTAGCAGTATTAATAAGCCAGCGGGAGTCAGACAATAAACAATAAAATATTAAATGTGTAAATGTATACTAAAGAAAGTATTACAAAAATAAATCAAGGTACGGAGGGCTGAACTAACATGGTAACATGGCAACATGGTAAGAGGATGGTAAAAGAAGCTGTCAGATCCTGAAGACAGAACCACCAGGACTCCTGATATTCAGGTGCAGAACTAGAGGAGACAGGGTGACACTGAGGCTTTGGGCCTGAAGTAGAAGGGTGGGGTTGGTATCAACTGAGATGCAGAAGGTTGCAGTTGAGAGAAATGAGAATTCTGCCTTGGACACATGTCCACCAGGCAGGAATATCACAGAACTGTTGCTTTATGCTTTTCTCTGCAGACTACCAGGTTGTTCAGGATTGCTGTCTGCCATTCTACTCACCCTGTTCTCTCTGATCACTGTCAAGTGATATCTGCCAGGGCTCTCTACTCTGAAGTTACTCTTCTCTTTAATTAGTATTTTGTGAGAGGTTAAGTTTGAAACTAGGAAGATATCTTCTTGTCAAAAATTTGCTTACTGATTTCAATCAGTATAGACTCAAGATTGTTCTACTATATTGAGTGGATTAGGATTCATTATAATAATTATCTATTTTAACGTTCAATTGTACCCAAAGTGGTGAGAGTCCCTGAAATGTTCTCTTTCCTTTTGATGTGCCTCCATCATTCTTTGAGCACGTACTTGCATTCTGTACAACAAGACAGTAAATTAGCCTGGGTCTTTCCCTGCCCCGTCCCTGCAATCAGCACTTAAGGAGCTCTACATCTGTTGGGAGGATCACTGCACGTGGAAATGAAGGTCTGGGTGCTAGATATACTCAGTGTTACTGAGATGCTGTGCTTCCAGTTGCTCTAGAGGAGACAGGGCTGCAGAGTGCAGAGTGCAGCATGTGCTCTGCATACACATGTGCGACAAAATCCCACATTCACTTCTGCGTGTAGTTCTGTAACTCTCTAGATGCAGAAAACCAGGAGTTCACACTCACACCTCCAATTCCAATCAAGCAACTCTGTGTGCATTTTCATTTTCTCCTTCTCCCCTGGTTGTACCTAATTGTGGTTTTTTTTTTTAATTTCTTGTTTTTTTTTTTTTTAGTATATCAAGTCTAACCCCCACAACCAGCACAAGTAATCAATTTCCTGTCCCAACCTTACACAGAACATCTTCTTGTCCAGGCTACTCTCCATTCTGGACTGCCTACTACACAGATACCCTCCTTTCCCCACTAAACTACAGCACCCCTCCCCAGGACTCCCTTGGCATGGACATCCTCCTCAGTGTGCTGTGGTACTGAGATCCTCATATAGACCCCCTATCCTTACCTTTGTGAGTGCCCTTCTCACCCTCTTGGGCTCTGACACCCCACACCAGGTCCCTCTCTAGGATGAACAGCCTCTCATCTGCTCAGGCTCACAGCCATCCTTAAAAGTAATTTCGCCAAAAAGACATTGAATTTTCATATCAACTTCTTTAATCCAAATTAAATCAAATACCTACAGATTTCGAGAATACAGCTCTCAGAAAATGTACTTTTTGGTTGTAAAGGGCAGAGGGAGTAAATTTGGAAGCATGAGTAGGTAAAAACATAGTACAGTATGAAGGCATTTTAGAAGAAGAGTCTAAAGGGCTTGAAAAGGCCAAGTGAGCTGACCATGATGGTACATGCCTATAATCCCAGACTTCAGGAGGCTGGGACAAGAGAATCTAGAGTTCAAAGCCAGCCTGGGATACATAGTGAGACCCTGTCTCAAAAGAAAACAAAGAAAAAAAAAGGCCAAGGGGAGCAGAGGAGGGTCTTAGGTGACCCTTCCGCCAGGCTCCCTGTGCCTAACTTTGTTGGGACTTCAAACCCATCTACCTTCAGGAGTAAAAAGCTGCACACAAATCACCAGGACACAGAAAGCACATCCTGGGAAAAGCCAACCCCTCCGCCATGCTGTCCAGCTGCCCTGCTGAAGCAGGTAGAGGACAAGCAGGTGCCCTTGGCAGGAACAGTGGCCACATTCTCTTAAACACACTTGTAAGGGTAAAGAAGAAGGTGTTTTGTACACGACTGATCTGTAAGTGCACTTAAGTAGGTTAATAGCCGACATGGTCTGCAGAGTCAGTGGAAAGGACAGGGACACATACTCACTTGTCCTTCCCTCTTAGCAGATCTCACATGGAAGGAACAGCTTCCTTTCATTCAGTCTGTGATTCACAGTGGCCTTCTGAAGGGAGTGGAGAAAACTTTTGTTTTTACAAGAGCAGTAATAATTTTTTTGGTGGTTCTGGGAATTAAACTCAGAGTCTTGCACATGCTAGGCAAGCAATCTACCATCTGAGCCACATCCCCAAGCATGTGTTTTGTTCTTTGTCTGTGAGATACAGTCTTGCTAACTTAGCTTGGACTGGCCTCAAAGTTGTGATCCTCCTGCCTCTGCCTCCAAAGTAGGTGGGATTACAGGCATGTACCACAACACCCAGCCAGGAGTAGTAATTTAGACAGAGAAAACAAAATGATTCACTTAAATCCTAGAACTAAGAACCACCTCCCAATCCTGTAAATTTAAAACCCATGAAACAAGAATTTCCAGTGAGAAATCCAATTTGCCTAGGGCACTTAAAATAATTTAAATTATCAAATCTAGTATGGAAGGACCCATTTAATTCATTTTTCAGTTATGAATCAACTCAGGCCTATTCAAATCATGTATTAGCTGAAACTGCTCTATTATTGAAGTGAATGTCACAGTAAATAGAATTTATCACTTCAAGGCAAATAAGTCAGTGGCATTTAGTTTGTTCGCAATGTCGCACAGTCACTGCCTCTTTCCAGTTCCCAGACATTTCATCACAACACACAATGAATCACTCCCCTCACCCTCGGTCCGTGAAGCCTCCATCCACTTTTGAAAGGTTATCTATTATGTATAGCTCCTACAGATGCAATAATACAATATGTGACCTGTTCTGTCTCACGTCTCTTCTTGGCTTGATGTCTTCAAGGTTCATCCACTTTGCAGCATGTATTGGTATTTATTTTTATGGATGAATACTATTCCTTTGTATGTGAACATGTGTCTGTGTATGTTCAAAAGTGTAAGTACATGTAATCTTTCTCTCCCTTTTTCTCACCTTTTCTCTTCTCAGAAAAGATGTATAACCTCACCGTAATCATGAAGAAACATCAGACAAAACAAAATAACTGAGCTGTGATCTTCAAAAGCATGAAGATCAGGAAAGTCAGGGAAATACTGAAAAAGTGTTTTCATCTGCAAGAAACTAAAGGAACAGGACAACTAAAAGCACTGTGTAATTCTGGAGATGATCCTTTTATTATAATGGACATTATTGGAACAACAAGTAAATGTGAAGGGGCACTGAGTGGAACGACATCAATGCTAACTTCATTACTTTAATGCCTATATGGCAGTTACACAGGAGAGTGCACCATTTATAGGAATTACACATGAGGAAACGGAGCAACAGGCCAAAGAATTCAAGGGAAAAAAGCTCTTTGCATTCTATTTCTAATCTTTTTATAAATTTGAGATTATCTTTTTAAAAATTTAAAATGTCAATTTTTTTTTGTAGCAGTACTGGGGTTTTAAACTCAGAGCCTCACACTTGCTAGGCAGGCACTAAACCACTTGAGCCAGTCTACCAGCCCTAAAGCATCAAATGTAAAAGTCCTGGATATAAATATTCTCCCACATAGGTACATCAGTGTAATTTCATATTTTAACTGAGCAAAATCTAATAGTAATAAATCTGTTGCTTCCATCCAGTTTTATATTGCAAACAAAAACTCTACCCTATCTCACTAGTGTACATAAGGAACCTGAGGACAATTGGGCCACCTCCCTGCAGACAGCAGGTAAATGCTCACTAACCAGGAAGGGTGCCTGCTGTTTCAAGACAGTCTTCTTCGCAGACAAGTAAAACATCTGACTTTTTTCCGAACCCCAGCAATTTTCCCAAACTTAACCCCATCTCCTCATTAAATCCTCTGAAAATAAAACCTGTCATTCCTCTAATTAAGATGTTTTAATAGGGTAACACACTCTCAATTGTCCATGTCGATTTGCTTACAGGTGCTTTTCAAGGAGAGGATTAGTATTGATAAAAAACATTGGAATACTTCAATTTTTTCCATATTTCTGTCCAAAAATTTTAACTGAGTTTTCAAAATCTGACTTTAGAATTAGAAATAGAACAACTGAGGTTTAGAATACATACGAAATCCTGTTGACTATGGCATCTTCGTCTTCTTGTTCATCTGCAAAAACATTGAAGGTATTATTATTCTTTTATCTTCCAACAAAATATTTCATTAACTTATTTAAAAATATAAACTTAAACAAAATTACTGACTAGAAAACTTTCAAAGAGCACTGTGTTTACTTTAGCAAACATCCAAATTTAAGTCTCATTAAATTGCATTGAATGGTATGATTAAAGAATAGTGTGTTTTGGTTTTCAAAGGAATCCTGATTAGCTGCCATATGTAAATTTAAATTTCTCAAATATTTAGAGCATAAAGCTTAGTAGGACCACTATGAAGTGTACAGTAGAGCCTTGGTATCCACAAGTACACAGTTCCAAGGAGACCACTGGTAAGGAAAGACCACAAATAGTCAGCATGCATAGAGTTCATCGCTGTACTGCAGATGCTTGATTCATTTTTCCAGAATGTTGCCCAATTTCCACTAAAGACAGGTCACCTTTCAAGAAATCTAACATTTTTACTCTATTACTTAAAAGAGCACTACATGCTCTTTTTGGCTTGGGAGGATTATTAAACTTTTACCTTGTTTTGTGGGCACCATTTGCTTTGGGGGAGGCATGTTTTCATAAAATTTAGGGCACAGAAACACTCAGATCACACAATAATTTAAACAAAACTAACAATAACGAAGACTAAGAGCTATTCCACATCAACTGAGCTGCACAATGTGTGCGTTGCAATTTAAAATTCTGTTTTTAAAATTTCTTTGGACTTTTTTTACTTGGTCAAAACCATATGTAATAAATCCACAAATAGGCAGACTGGCTATATTCTATTATACATGTTAAGTGAAGCTGTTAATGAATGAAATTTCTGGTTGATAACAGTCAACAAAAGTTTTATTATAAAAATTTCACAATCTTATAACTTATCCACTTTTCTAGAATTTGAGTTTGCCATTACTATGGTAGTAATAGATTCTGTAAGACCATCCTAAGCTACCTTGGACTCTGTAGGATCATTCTAAGCTATATTGCCTCAATAATCAGAATTATTGTTTAAGAAAGAGGCAATAGCTTTTTTTTTTAGGTAGCAGGCAGCCTACACTCTGATGCTCACTTACCTTCCTCTCTCCCTCTCTCTCAGACCTGATAGCCTCATTTCTTTTGTCCTCCCACATAAATTTACCAGCCAAAGAGAATGAATCATCACAAGAATATTGCAAAACCCTCCTAGCCCCTCCTGCTCCTCATCCACCTAATGTCCTCAAAGGCTCTCTCCTGATGTCTCTGGACTTCTGGGCACCAAATGTCTCTCTGTCAGTGGTGTGTTTGGGTCTATCCTTAATTACAGGTGGTCCAAAATAGCATTATAACCAAGGGGACCACAAAATAACAGTCACTATTAATTTTCATACTCTGTGCCCATATCTAACCAATCATCAAGTATTCAGGGATGTTTTACATAACTCTTTTTTTTCCTTCAATGCTGGGGACTGAATCCAGGGCCTTGCACTTGCTTAGCAAGCTCTCTACCACTTGAGTAACACCACCAGCCCTAGTCTTCAGGGATGTTTTAATATCTCCATATCCACTTCAGTTCTATTCCCAACACTCTCCCAACTAGGTCAGGGTCCTCCACATTCCCCACCATTCCTGGATTACCCTAAAAGTCACCCAGGTCTCAGATGTGCCTGTTCATTATCCCCAGTTTCCCTTAAGGCAATGTATTTATGTTCTTTCATCCATTCTCTTCTTCTTTCTGTACACATAATCTAGGAAGCCATACCAAAATATCTTTTAAAAGAGCTAAAATACTGCTTCACATCTTCAGCTATTCGAAGATTTTAACAGATTACACAACACAAAGAGTAGTTCAGCACTGTCACAGAGCCAATAATAGTACCAAAGTAATACGCTAAGCCAAGAACTGTTTCCTATTCCTCTCAAAAGCCTCACAGTTTTTAAATTAATAACATAGCACTGCAGGATCCTTAAACATGGAATCCTTAAGAACCACATAGTACCTACTATCAGCCCACCATCAAAAGTAGAAAATATGTGATTTCAAGAAAATAGCTGAGATTTAGCTGAAGGCAGTAAGGCAACTGCTTAGGTCCTACAAAACTCTGTGAATTAATCAGCACAAAGTTCATTAAAGAAGAGAAAAAGACATAGCAGTCCCTCTGGCTAGGTAAGAATGATGTGAAATAATAAAAGGATGCTATGGAATTGAATACCAACACTATCACGGAGACTCTGAAGTCTACATTGCTTTAGAGAAAGAAAAGACAATTCTACTAATCAGAAAGGGGATGGAAGGTGGTGAACAGAATATTCACTCAAATCCAGTGACAAGGAATCAAATACCCTCATGAACTCTGGAATTTCCTAGACACTAAATGGCCCAGCACTATTCTTAGTTGGACATAAGAATTGTGACAAACAAGAACTTTGGTCTAAGAGAGTGAACCTAAGGGTAGTCAAATTCTCTGGAGGTTATTTTTAGTGCTCTGAGTACCAGTCAAGTGTTTACTTCAATCACCGGCATTATTTGATATGCTACTCTACTGAAGTGTATTGACACATCCCATGTCTAGACCACAGGGCATTGTGATAAGTTTTAATTAAGCTGTTTCTACTTACCTGATTTTCTCTTGTATCTTGTGATGATGAAGTAGGAAGCAATGTAGAGAATGGCAAAAAGAAGAAAACATATCTGAAACAAAACAAATTCAAGGGATCATTCATATTTTTGCCTTTCATTTTCCTAACTAATAGAAGACATATCTTTCGTGTCTATAGGAAAAAAAGGATTTAAGCCATGAAAAAGTAAAAGTTGTGGATAGTTCACTAGGAGAAAGTTTTGATAAAATACTAACTTATGTGAACTACCAAATTAGCCTCATTTAACACTACTCCAGGAAAAAAAGCAACCTAATGGATATATTTTTCTTCCCATAACTTGATCAAACACTTCTCACAATCATGTGGAACTGTGAGGAGCCAAGCCATCAGCAACAATTGTGAAAAACAAAGTCAATGAGAAATTACAACCTCTGTTAAATACTGAAACATATCAAGGCTGCACTGGCACTTGAAGAATGTGGTGGCCCCACAAACTGACACATAAATGAAACAGATTTTGTTACATAAAAATTTAACAGAAAAGAGGTATCACAATCAACATGGTTAATTAATATGCCATGTACCAAAATAAACCACAACTGAACAAAGGATTTTTAAAATGTTAAAATAAATACCATTTATATTTAATTGACAAAAAACTAATGCATACAACATGATGTTCATATTGCTGTGTGGTTCATTTAAACTAATTAACATATATTATCATTAACATAAGTACCACTTTTTGTGATGAGAACACTTAAAATCTACTCTCTTGGTGATTTGCAAATAATATTCTTTGTGGCATCGGTTGACCCACATCTCCTCACACCTCCAACACTGACCCCAAACCCTGGTACTATCATTCCACTCCCCACTTCTGTGAGTTCAACTACACAAATAAATGAGATTATGAACTATTTGTCTCACCTAACATAACATCCTCCAGGTTCACTCATGTTGTTGCAAATGACAAGATTTCATTCTTTCTAAGGCTGAATAGCATTCCCTTGTATACACATACCACATTTTCTCTACCCACTCATCCAAGTGACAGACACTCAGGAAGTTTCTGTAACTTGGCTATTGTGAACAGAGTTTGGATGTCTTTTCAGCACACTGATTTATCTCCTTTACACACACACAGCAGTGCAATCAGCAGATCATTCAGTAGATCCATTTTTAGTTTTTAAGGAACTTCACAGTTTTCCTTAATATCTAAACTAATTTACATTCTCACCAACAGTGTGCAAAATATTCCTTTTTCTCCACAGCCTCACCAGCACTTTTATCTTTTAGGGTTTTTTTTGTTTGTTTTTCTGTAGCACTTTGAACTCATGGCCTGGAGGCTGCTACATGCTCTACCACTTAAGCCCCTCCCAGCCCTCTTTTGTATTTTTGATAACAGCCATTCTAATAGGTGTGAGGTAGTGTCTCATTGTAGTCTTAAATTGCGTTTCTCTGATGCTCAGTGATACTGGTATTTCCATTATAACAATTGGCGTGGTATTATGTCTTTTTTGGCATGGGAGGGGGAGACTAGGGTTTGAACTCAGGGCTATCCCTCTTGAGCCACATCTCCAGTCCATTTTGTTCTGGTTATTTTGGAGCTGAAGTCTCGAGAACTATTTGCCCAGGCCAACCTCGAACTACAATCCTCCCGATCTCTGCCTCCCTACGCAAAGGGTTTATAAGTCACCAAGCGTCCAGTAGAAGGAAAAAAAATTGATGATTCTCAAATAAAATGATCCAGGCAAAGATAAATTCCAGAGAGCACTCCATATGTAGATTTCTGAAGGTGAGTTGGTGGCCACATGACTGAGAAACACTTTGAACTTAGGTAGTGGCCATTCCCTGCACAAAGACACCATATTGGAAATGGAAAGGAAGACTATGAGCAGAGTGTCAAAGTTTTCCCAATACATGTGAGAGAATAACAGAAGACAATAGTGACAGTGACCAAAGAACGAAGAGCATCCAAGTCCACCTGCTCAGAAAGCCTAAGGACCTGTTAGGAACATTGGCCAGATGAGAGAATGTTAACAATCACCACCTACTCCCCAAATCCTTTAGAGCATAGGAAAAGGGTAAAAAGGAAAATCAGGTGTTGGCAAAGGACTATACATGGAGGGGATCTTCTAAAAAGAAACAGTGGCCTATAATGAAAAGCTAAGTGGGGCTCAAAAGAGCAAGGAAAGAAGACTAACTGGGTAGTAAAACAGTACATCTTAAGGTGAAATTCAGATGAATTAGATGACAAAGGGAGTTAATATGTATGGCAGACGCTGACTGAACTTCATTAAGTCAATAGTTATTTATTCTTAAGGGAATGATAGCGCAAAAAAACATCTGTGAAGGTAGAGGATATAAGGACATGTACTGAAAGCTGTTGAAAACTGGGGGGTGGGAGGGAAGGGGTCAGGAAGAACAATGGAAGAGGCCAAATTGCCTTTGAACATCGACTTAGAAATAAATAACAAAAGACAGGATTGTAAAATAGGTAATGGGGAGTAGGTATCAGTGGGAAGGGGAAGGATGAACAAAGGAGATTAAGGTGAAGGAATATGACTGATATGCTAATACAAAATAGGACAATGAAACCTCTTGTAATTGTTTTAAGTGGGATGGGAGGGGACCAAGAGGAAGAAATGGTGGGGTGATCTAAGCAATGTATAATGTGAGCCTATTTGGGATTGTAACAATGAAGCCCCCTGTACAACAAATACATCCTAATAATAAAAAAAATAGTTACTTATTCTGACTCATTAAACTCAGGCACTCTTCTAAGAACTGGAGACACAGGAGTGAACAAAGTCATCAAGTCATCGTCCTCATGGGGCTCAGTGAGAGAATCAACAATAAATAAGTAAACAGACAACAAATAATCAAATTGTAGTGTGCCCAATGATGATTAGTGCACAAAAGGAAGTGCCACCAGCAATGGGGGACATGTCTCACCAAAAAGGGGACATCAGAGGAAAGAGTTGTGGAAGACAGCCAGAGCAGACAGACACATGGGGGGCAGCATCTGAGGCAGAGACAACAGCAGTGCCAAGGTTATAAGGCAGGAAGGCTCTGGTGTGTTCAAACAATGAGTATGAATTAAGAGATGATATGGGGAAGTAATGAGAGCCAAGGTCACATAGAACTTTGTACCAAGTGTTGATTCTTATACATGGTAACTAACATGTTGGCTTCAACCCTGAGTGAGATGGGAATCCATTGCAGGATTCTGACTAGAGGGGTAATAAGATCAGACATAGTGCAAAAGCCTCACTCTAGTTGATATTTGAAAATAAGCCAAAAAAGGGCAGGAACAGAAACAGGGAGACTAGAAAAGAGTTTATTGCAATAATCCAGAAGAGAGGTCACTCGGACCTGTACAGTGGTGATGTTAAGAAGTGATCAAATTCTGGGTATGTTTTGAAAGCAGACCTGCTGGAACTTGCAAGAATAAACACAGAATTCTTGGCAAGAGAAACTGGAAACACAGAGGTGTCATTTCCCGAGTTAGTAAAGATTATAAGAGGAGTGGTTTGTGGGGGGAGAAATGAGCACTGTTGAACTGAAAAATGCATTATTCACTCAGGTGGAAAGGCTGAATGAGCAGTTACATATAAAATCTGAATTGTTTAGGGGAGGAAGGTAGATTATATGTAAAAAAATGAATAAATAGGAGAGATTCCAAGATGGCGGCTAGAGGTAGGAAGCAGAAAGCGAGCCTCCTATAGTGAAATCTTGGAGAGACGCTGGAGACACACTTTGCAGGCATAATCACCGAGAAAAGGCATAACTTAGACTCCTCCACATCTCCAGCCGGTGCAGAGAATCTCCACTTCACGTTAAACGGAGAACCGAGGAGGCCCCCGGGCCGCCAGCTGCCGGCGCCCATACGGCTTGGGAAGACGCGGACCAGGTGAGCTTCGCGGTACCGCGGTCCCCACAGACAAGCCTGGGCCAGAGCAGCATAGCCCCTGGACAGACTGACCTCCACCCGGGAAAAAAGAGAAAACTGAGTACTAAGCAATAAGAACAGTTAAGACACGCTGGAAAGAGGGTGGGGCGCCCTGAGCGCTGAAGATTGGGGGAAGGGAACCCTTCCCGGGACTGTAAATAAACGAGCCGGGCGGGCCGGAGAGGCTCTGGCGGGAGCGGGGCGCGCCAGCAACCAGGAGCGGGGACGCTTGTGAGAGGAGGGAAGACCCACTTCCCACGTGAACTGTAATAAACACGCAGGCCTGACAACGTGGGGCAGTGTCACCTTTCCCAGTGCTTGGAAAGGGAAAAGCCTGTGCAGAGGCCCCCTCCCCCGCACAGGAGAAACTCTGAGCAAACAAAGCCTGTGGGACCAGGTGAGTGCTAGCTCACCCCAGAGATCTGCATAAATAACGCCGCCAGCTACAGGCTGAGAGCAGCAGGCAGGCAAGCCACAGTTGCAGATACCACTCTCAGAACTGCCTCCAGACGCTTTTTTTTTCTTTTTCTCCCTACCTTTGATGAGAGAACAACCGAATTACACCTGCAAGCCGAAAAACTTACTGAAACTATTGCATTTGAACTGGGGACACTTGGTGGGGCTTTTTTTTTTTTTTTTCTTCTGTGTGTGTGTGAGTGTAGTTTTGTTCTACTTTATGCATCCCCTTTGATGAGACAACTACAGAACAACATCTGAGGCACCAACTCCAGGACTGGAGATTAGACGGACATCCAAATTATTAAGACTGAAATTGCATTGCATATAAACTTGGAAGTTTTTTGGTTTTTTTTTTTTTTTTTTTTAATTTCCTATTTTCCATTTTATTTTAATTCATTTTTATAAATAGATATTACTTTCATATACTTATTTTTTATTTTTTTTATCTTTGATTTTCAATCCTCTCTCTGTCTCTCTATTGTCTGTTCAGCTTACTGTCGATTAGTACACTAACACTCCCTGTTTATACCTTTGAAACTCTCTGTCTGATACCTTGTTCTGCTTTCTCCTCTTGTCTGTATATTTTGTTTTCCCTTTTCTTTAACTTCTTGCTTTCCATCTCAGCTCACTCTTCCGTTCTCAATATTACCATTGTTATTATTACAAGCTAGAAAATAC